GCAATTCACTTAGAATTAGCTACTGAACTTAGTACTGCTTCTTTTATTTCTGCTTTAAAGCGATTTACCGCTCGACGTGGTTTATGTCAAAATCTCCATTCTGATAATGGCTCGAATTTTATAGGAGCAAAAAATGAGTTTGCTGCAATTTATGCTGTTCTTAAAGATAGCAAGTTTCAGGACTTTCTTATTCAGAATACAATTCAATGGCATTTTATACCTGCGCGATCACCCCATTTTGGAGGAATATGGGAATCGGCTGTAAGGTCTACCAAGCAGCATCTAAAGCGAATCCTCAATGAAGTTCCGCTCACCTTCGAAGAATTTTATACACTCCTGGTTCAAGTGGAATCGGTTTTGAATTCTCGACCATTAACCCCACTGACTGATGATCCCAATGATTTAGAAGTACTCACTCCGGGTCATTTTTTAATTGGCCGTCCGATAAATGCTGTACCCGAATTAGACATTTCCCAAGTACCCATGAATCGCTTATCCAGATATGCGCATGTTCAAAAAATGACGCAAAGTTTCTGGACACGGTGGTCAACAGACTATCTACACACATTGCACCAGCGGAACAAATGGAAGTTTCATCAACATCAAAATGACCTGCTAGGTTCTCTAGTGCTCCTAAAAGAAGATGGTCTGCCTTCATTGCAATGGCATCGAGGGCGTATAGTGGACCTTCATCCAGGTAGTGACGGTGTGGTGAGAGTAGTTAGTGTTCTAACAAAAAACGGCGTCACTAAACGAGCCATTGTGAAAATATGTTTACTTCCGAAGGACGATTTAAATTATTGATTTTCTTGTTTTTTAATTATCTTTTTACCATTTATATTTTTATATACAACTCAATTTACCCAGTATCTGCAAATTTTATAATTAACTTTTCCCGTTTTATTGTATACCTATCTTTAATGTTAATGATATTGAAAGCATTCAGTTGGATACTTTCAAGGGCGGCGGTATGTTTGCATTTTTTTAAATAATAAACAGCCTTTATCAAATTGAGTAGGCAGAATAAGAAACAATCGGAAAAATATTGCATAACAACCCGTTGTTAATAGAGTTGTCATTCAAGTTTTAAAAAAGTTAGTCACGATTTTTTAATTGTATAAAAATACCTACATAGATCAATCACTCAGAGCTGGGTCTATTCAATTAATAAACACTAGACGTAGCATTGGTCCAAGTGTTTCCATTCAAGGATATCATCGCTGATATCCCGTAGCAGCACCGCCAAGCAGCGCAATACCGAGAAGGTACCTATTCTTCAAGGTTGCGACAAAATTGGGCACCCCGCCCTCATCAACTGCATCAGCTGTTTCTTGTATTATTTTATGCAGAGTATAAAAATTCAAATTGTTATTATGCAGTCGGGTGTCATTCTGAATTTCATCATAATATGTATTCCAATTTGCTTTTGAAAAGATTCTTTTTGATGGTATTCTGACAATGTAGTCGGTTTTGATCATATTTCCATTTTTGTTGATTTTAATCATTGTAGGGTAGTGGTCACTGTAACCAGGATCCATGATCACTTCCCAAGAGCATCTAGCTGCTATTGGAGGTGTAGAAAGTGCTATATCTATAGGGCTTGGGTTTTCATGAGGTTTTGTAATTCTTGTTGTGCTCCCATCATTCAGTATTAGAAGGTTATTTTCGCTTAACAGTTCCTCAATTTGTTTCCCATTGAGATTTTGGTGGTTGCTACCCCAATCTGGGTGATGGCCATTCATATCCCCCATAATTATTGTTTCTCCTGTTAATGGATTTATGATTTTCTGAAGTTCAAACTTTAGATTTGGTATTTGTCGTGCTGCATAACAGGTTATTATATTTAGATTGTTTATTTTGATAGCTAGATGTTCCAGATGATTGTTAACTATTATTGGTTGTATTTCATTGTATATGTATCCATTCTTTATGCCGATTGCAATTCCGCCATAGCCATCATTTCGATCTTTACGTAATATATTGTAATTTTTTATGTATAAGTGGTCGGTTTGTTTCAGCCATGTTTCATTCAGCAGTATAATATCTGGCTGATGTTGATATATAATGTTAATAAGGTTTTCTCGATTAGGAAGGATGCTTCTTGCATTCCATTGTATTATTTTGATTTCTCCTAACCTGTTTGTCATGTTTGAGTTGATTGTTGTTGTTGTTTTTTTTTTATGAATTATAATCTTCTTCATCCATTTGTATGTTTCTTTCTAGTAGGATTTGGGATAAATGTTCGTATAATCTTCTTTGAGCATATTGGCTAAGTTTTGTAGCCAATTGCATAGATTCATTTGCATTAAGCGTTTCAATAATTTGTACAGCACTCTCTGGCTTTTTGGTTTGTTTAAATTGTTTATTATATTCATCAATGTTTTGTAGAGCATGGACAGACGTTGAGGGTTGGTCTTTGTTCCATATTATTCTTTCTTGTTTTTGTTGATTTACTATAAATTTTTCTGGTCTTGTGTTTGGAAAATATAGTTGTTGATTGTGTGCTTCTTGGTCGTATCCTTGTTGTGTTATTCTTTTTTTGGATGGATTTTGAAGGACTTGTTGGTATGACCTCTTATTATTTTGGTTGATGAATTTTTGTGTTGTGGCTCGTCTTTGATTAATTTGTATTATATTATCCTCAGTTGTTGGTTTCGGTTTTGGCGCTGGGAAGTCTCTCGGATCTAGTGTATATTTATTAAAGGAATTTTGATTTGTATTTTGATTTGTTTTGGGGCATAGCATTGCCGCTTCATAATACGATATATTCTCAAATATCATTGTTTTTTTAATATTTTCTTGTCTCGCAAATTCAGGGCATTTTTTGTCATTGGATTTATGATTTTCTGAGTTGCAGTGATAGCATTTGGTTATACAGTTGTTATGTTTGTCTTCTTCTTCAAGATTGATATGCTCAGCGCACTGAAAGCATCTTTGTCTTCCCTTACATAGCTTCTTTGTATGCCCATAAAGAAAGCAATTGTAACATTGTGTTACTCTCGGTATATATGGGATTACTGGGATTTCTAAGTTATATAAGCTAATGTATCTCGGTAAATTGGTTCCATCAAATGTGACAAGAATTGAATAAGTAGGTATATATTCATGTTCAATGATTTTATCTTGTGTAACATTTTTATTATCAAAATTTCTTCTTTGGACA